ATTTAAAAAGAAAGAAAAGCAAGCAAGCAAGCCCACTAGAGGACTTTTAAAGAACCTGCACCAGAAATGTCTTTATTTTGATTATTGTATTTCTCCAAAGAAACATATGTATTTTAGTCCAAGGTTCTGTCTTTCTGCTATTTCAGTTTAAGATCCCTTCTTTCAAAATCACCCAGCACTGCTGGCTCGGTATACACCTCCCAAAACTGGCAACTAATGACATTGTAAGTTGCTAAGCCTATAAGTTCAAATCTCTGTGCTTCAAGTGTTTGCTATCAAATTCTTATGTAATAATCTTTTGTTGATATTGTTTTTGAATTTTATACTTCAGAGGTTTATGTAAACACATTAAAGACTTAAAAAGAATGAAATAATTTAAAGAGATACTTAAAGATGGCTTTTATCACTGGTTGTTCATAGAGTCTACAATGCTTCTGTAGAAGACTTAGAAAAATATAATAAAGTAAATGAAAAATACTTGAGTATTCATAACCCTACCACCATGGAGACATCACAATTGACTCTGTAATTTTTTTTTCCCAGTGGACCAAATCTTGACCTTTTTGAAACAAGATTTTTTTTTTTCACTCAGCAGCATATAGTGAAGGGCATTCCCTGGTAGTAACTAAACATGTATCCTATTCTGAGAAACTGATGAAGAATGTTGCCTTTTGGGAATTATTTTAAAAAAACACTTTTTGGCTAATAGCAAATTCAAAAGGAAACTCAACCAACAACATAATTTTTTGGTGAAGTTAAAAAATGGCTTGTATATTTTATTATTAATACAGTTGATGTATTAAACATTTCTATGAATTGTTTGGATATGACATTTTTTTTTTTTTTGAGCACGAGTCTCGCTTGTTGACCAGATCCTCTCCCCCAAGGTCTAGGGAGAGAGAAATGGGGAGTTATTTTTCAATAAGTATAAAATTTTATGATAGTTAGTCAAGGCAAACAACTTCAAGAGATCTGCTGTGCAACATAGTTTCTGTAGTTGACCATACTCTATTGAGCTCTTAAAAATTTTCTTAAGGGTAGATCTCATGTTGTGCTCTCATCCCACAAAAAGGAGGAGGACAACAAGAAATGTTTGGGGGTAGTGGATATGTCTATTACCCTGACCTTGGTGATGGTTTTGTGGGTGTATGAATATGGCCAAACTATTAAGTTGTATACATTAAATATGGGCAGGTTTTTGGTGTATCAATTATACCTCAATAAAGCAGTAAAAAAAAATTTAAAAAGAAAGAAAAGCAAGCAAGCAAGCCCACTAGAGGACTTTTAAAGAACCTGCACCAGAAATGTCTTTATTTTGATTATTGGTATTTCTCCAAAGCAAACATATGTATTTTAGTCCAAGGTTCTGTCTTTCTGCTATTTCAGTTTAAGATCCCTTCTTTCAAAAATCACCCAGCACTGCTAGCTCAGTTATACACTTCCTCCCCAAAACTTGCAACTAATGACATGGCTTAAGTTGCTAAAGCCTATAAGTTCAAAACTCTGTGCTTCAAGTGTTTTGCTATCAAATTCTTATGTTAATAATCTGTTTTGTTGATATTTGTTTTTCTTTTTATATTTTAGTAACTTCAGAGGTTATCTGTAAACACATAAAGAACTTAAAAGAATGAAATAAATTTTAAAGAATACTTTAAAGATGGCTTTTTATCATCTTTTTGTTCATAAGTCATACATGCTTACTGTAGAAGACTTAGAAAATATAATAAAGTAAATGGAAAAAAGTACTTGAGTATTCATAACCCTACCACCATGAGAGACATCACAATTGACTCTGTAATTTTTTTTCCAGTGGACCAAATCTGTACCTTTTTGAAACAAGATTTTTTTTTTTTTCACTCAGCAGCATATAGTGAAGGGCATTCCCTGGTAGTAACTAAACATGTATCCTATTCTGAGAACTGAGTAAGAATGTTGCCTTTTGGGGAATTATTTTTAAAAAACACTTTTTGGCTAATAGCAAATTCAAAAGGAAACTCAACCCAACAACATAATTTTTTTGGTGAAGTTAAAAAATGGCTTGTATATTTTATTAATACAGTTGATTGTTATTAAACATGTTCTATGAATTGTTTGGATATGAACATTTTTTTTTTTTTTTTTGAGACAGAGTCTCGCTTGTTGACCAGGCTAGAGTGAGTGCCGTGGCATCAGCCTAGCTCACAGCAACCTCAAACTCCTGGGCTCAAGCCATCCTCCTGCCTCAGCATCCCGAGTAGCTAGGACAATAAGTGCACATCACCAAACCCGGTTACTTTTTCTATTTTTTGTAGAGATAGCATCTGGCTTTTGCTCAGAGCTAGTCATGAACTCCCAGCCTCAAACAATCCTCCTGCCTTGGCCTCCCCAAATTCTAGGATTATAGGCATTAGCCACCACACCCAGCCAATATATCATTGTAATAAGCAGTGTTCTATGTCAGATCCTGGGTACTCTACTTCTATGCATTATCTCAATTGATCTTCACAGAATTATATCAAGGCAGGCATTAATTATTTTCCTCATTTTACAGATGAGAGAATAAAACTTGAGTAAAATAATTTGCTCAAAGTTATACAATGACCAAGTGGCAAGGCTGAGACTCCTACCCAGGTCCATCTGGCTCTAGAACCTGTGCTATTAGCTACTGTTCTGCACTGGCCTACTGTTTGAAAAGACACTGCCTGAAAGAGGAGGAAGACAAATCCCATGGGGTAAGAGCATCAGGATTCTCTGCATCCTGTAGCCCCACCCTCCGACACCTACCAGTTCTGCCACACACGACCCAGGTGGAAGCTGCATGTGGCCCAGTTTGACGTTGTACCACAGAATGATGGCTGTCACTGCTCTGCTCCACCTCAAAGCCTGCTTCGTTTTCCAACCTGAACCATGGCCTGATCCTAATACGTAGCATGGCTATAAAACACAGCCTGTTACATTGAGTATGGCTGCAGTCCCCAACCTGCAGCCATGGACCTATACTGGTCAGTGGCCTGTTAGGGACTGGGCTGCTCAGCAGGAGGTGAGCAGGAGGTGAGCGAGTGAATCTTAATCTGTATTTACAGCCGCTCCCCATCACTGCCATCACCCCATAAACTCCACTTCCTGTCAGATCAGTGACAGCATTACATTCTCATAGGAGTGCAAACCCTACTGTAAACTGTGCATGCGAGAGATCCAGGTTGCACGTGCCTCAGGAGAACCTAATGCCTGATGATCTGAGGCAGTGATGCTTGCGCTGGGGGGGTGGCTGCAAATACAGGTTATCATTAGCAGAGAGGTTTGACTGCATGGTAAGTGTAATGATTGAATTGTCCCCAAACCATCCATGCTCCACCCTCCACCCCGCCATCTGTGAAAAAACTGTCTTCCATGAAACCAGTCCCTGGTGCCAAAAACGTTGGGGACCACTGGAATATGGGTCATAAGTGATATATTGCTGTGTGCTATCTTTAAATATTTATAGGTGCCAGTTTCACGTCTCCTACTAGAGGGTAAACTCTAGACAAAAATCATGCATTTCCACCAGCACCTGGGGCAGTACAAGGCACAGTAGAGGCATCTGAGAAACTTGTGCTGATTTAGGGTGGGAAGCCTAACAACACACATTACGCTTTTGTTACCTCTATGCCTTAGTTTACTTTTCTGCAAATCAGGGGCTTTGGCTGGAAGAGATCTAAGAGCCTTCCCATTATATGAGTCCACATGTCATTGGGCCGTGGTCTTCAAGGGTGCACTATCAAAACGCTTTGTGAATTTTTCATGCAAAACCAGTCACTAAATAAATGATCACAGGGTGAGTATGGTCACATATTCGCTAGCTAACCTCCAAACACACATGATCATAACTGAGTTCCATAAAGAAAGATGCATTTTTCATTTTACTTTTTTTTTCTTGAGACAGGGTCTTGCTCTGTCACCTGGCTAGAGTGCAGTGGCATGATTATAGCTCACTGCAACTTCAAACTCCTGGGCTCAAGCAATCCTCCTGCCTCAGCCTCCCAAGTAGCTGGGATTATAAGCACCCGCCACCAAACCCAGCTAATTTTTCTATTTTTTGTAGAGACAGGGTCTTGCTCTTGCTCAGGCTGCAAAGTTGCATTTTAAAGCAACAAAAACTCATTATCATAAAATGACTAATAATGCAGCCAACGGCCATAAAGTGAATTTTGTTCAAGTCATTAATCAATTGATACACTCTAAAGAGAAGCTTCCTTATGCATATTGCTAATCATTTATTCAAATCAAGTAAATATTGTCCACGTGGTCTACTGAGAAATTACAGGGAGATTTATTAAGAAACTAAGTGAAATAAATTTCTTGTAGAAATTTCACTATTAAGGATTTTTTCAATAAAAGGTCTTCCCGGAATTGGGTGGACTCTGCAGGCTGCAGACTTGTGTTTGCTCATCTTTGGGCCTCAATCAGATTCTAGTAATATCTAATTGTACAAAGCAGTGAGGTTTGAGATTTGAGGCGAGCTCCATTTTTCTCATGGGTCAGTTGCTTTCCAGACATGGGGACAATATCTTTCAAGAGGCGATAGCTTTGTGACAAAGACACGGAAACCCACTGAGACTTTCTCCTAAGTAAAATGCCTTGCCTCCTGGTTTATCAAAAAGGTAGTTGCTCTGCAGAATCAAAAGCCTCAAAGTGAGGGGGCATCTCATAGAAAGATGTGCTATTTCAGCTTTCAGCCTTATTTTTGTACCTGTCATTGCTACCGTAAGGAGAAGTTGGAAAGAAGAAGGATAGTTCTATGAACTGTAGCTAATATCTCTACCACAGAGAAGGAAATGCTCAAAACAACCTCCAACATAAGGCTACTGAAAAATTATAAAATTATAAATAATGATCCACTTTATCATTAGCCAGGATATAACGATATAATAGCTGGAGGGCAGAGCAATCTACAGATGTGAAGTTAGGACAAAATTTAGGCCAAGTTACAACTACTCACAGGCAAAACATCTAGTAAATCCAGGTAATATTTTTAAGCATGCCCTTTAAGTCCAAGTAAACAAGTGAATTTTTTTCTTTCACATGGAGTCTTGAAACATCCTTGAATCACTGCCTTGAACTTCTTCAGGAGTTTTATGATCCGAATTTACAAATTGGCTTCAAACACACTCACAAACATACACATGCGCATACACGAAGAAACACATATGCCAACACACAAAAAGCTTCTTCCCTTTTTTTGCTGTGTCCCTCAAACGCCTACAGGTCCCCCTGTCCCCTCAGAAGGAAGGCCTCTACGAGTACGGAAGAATTTTTCTTCTTCCTTTTGAAGAAATGATGGTGCCAGAAGGGAGGAACTGTATGAGCAGTAAGTTATCTTAGCTCACCTTTCACTCTTGTCAGAATTTGGTAACATTCTCAAAGGATAAATGGGTTTTGGACAGGACTGATGGGTGAAGGAGTGCTTTGTGTAAACGTCGCATACGATCTCTCCTCCCCGGCATTCACTGAGACTCGGTGAGTACACGGCTGGAGGCAATGTCCATCCCGGCTCCGGGGCTGCACGGCCGAGCACACAAAAACATGCCGCCTACTTCTCATTTTGCCCTCGACCCCAAATATGCAAGAAGGCTTCGTCAAAGCCACAGGCCACAGGCAAGGCAATACTGGGTGTTAGTGTCCTAAAGCCTCCTGCCCCTTCATTCAGCTCTCTCTCACCACAAAACCAGGTGCTACACATTAATTAAATGCACTGACATATTCAGCATATTCTTTATTTCTCTGATCTAAGACACTCAGTTTTGTTATGAATCAGGAGGTCTGTAACAGGAAGGGAGACACAAATCTTGCATTATTACAGACAGCCAAAATCACCGGTTATGTTTGAGGCAGCCATGTCTAACCTGGAGAAAAACTCTGAACCTAAGCTAGAATAAAATTACGCATTCAGCAGTCCCTTGGGAGCAATTTTTTATTACCACCGTCAGAGTCAACAGCAGGGGGTTCAGTCAGGAAAGGATCAGGCCCCGCTGGTGGCTCCAGAAGCAGGAATGTCCAGCAGGCACCCCTGTGCACAAGCTCCGGAACCGTGGCTTCCCGCGCAGCCTCCAGGGGTCGCTGCAACGTCCCTCACAACAGAGTGAAATGCTGTAATCTGTATTCGGTTTACTCTCGGGCTCCATCCACTCACCCCTCTCCCTCCACTCGCTGACCCTCCACTCATGCACCTTCGGCTCACTCGGTATGTTGTCTCCACCCACATGCTCTGAAATGATTCCTCCCAAGGCCACTCACGCCTTGCAAATACGTAAACCAACATCCACTTTTCAGGCCTAATTTTAACCTGATTCTCCACAGTAATTACATGCTGCGCCTGTGTTTTTTCACTCTCTCACACAGCCTCATTGTTCCATCGGGCTTTTTTATCACTGATTTTTTTCTCCTCACTCTCCTTTGGTGGGTCCTCCTTCTATATAAGACCTTTAAATATTGTGGGGCCCTGGGTTATAATCTAGGTCTTTCTCATCTCATCTTTACTCTTCCCTGGGGCTTCAACCACCATCTCGGTGAGTCACCAATGTGTATATTTAGCACAGATCTCCCTTGTGAGCTCCCAATTCATTCATTTCTCTGCATGTTGCCTTGATCTCTGAAAGTTAACCTGTACAAAACTCTGTGCCCTATTTATTCCCCCCCATCACCAACCTGGTTTTTCTTTAGTGTTTGCTCCGAGGAGATGGCACCACCACCACCTGAGGGCTTTTGCCACACATCTGAATGTCCTCCGCTTTTCCTCTCTTCCAGCCCACGTCAATCACCAGGGCACTTGACGTCTGCAGACGGCCCTCCTCTCCTCCACTTCCTGCAGTGGTCTCCCAGCTCCCCACTTCCGCTTTGCCTCTTTTGATCCTCTCACTTCACAGCAACCACACTTGTCTTTATAGGTTCAAATCTTCTCTTCAGTGGCTTCCCAGCGCTTTTAGACCAAGTCAAATTCTCATATGGGCTGCAAAGGCCTGCATGTCTCTTCAACCTCAAGCCTCTGCTCCCGCAAGCTGTCTCCGCAGCAGAGAAACCAGACCCACCCCCTCAGTTCCTTCCGGTCTCTGTCTGCATGCTCTTCTCACCCTCACCCCCCTCCCCTGTCTTGCTCTTACCCCTCTTTCAGGCCTCAGTTTAAGTGTTACTATAAAAGGAAATGGCCTGAAAAAATTGCAAAAATATTTTCTGTCTCTTTGAAATTTCCCCCATTCTTTTTGAGCACTGAAACTTGCATCCCTGCCTCAGGCCAGTGGTTGGGAGGAGCAGGGAGAAGGTCTTTAGTTCTTACCCCAGGGGCACCAGCCCCCCAGGTGGGCAGCTGGCAGGGTTCACAGGCTTTGCTTTGGAGGAGCTGGGACAATTAGAATAGTTAACCACAATAGCCTAGAACTGAGGGGCCCTCCCTTTAAAAGCTCGGTATTTCTGCTTAGGTTCAGGAAATTTGGATTTTGACACGAGAAAGTCTATCACTTTTCATCCTTTGCCAGCAAAGTAATAAAATTTCTCTTTCCTTCTCCCCAAACCACTCGTCCTTGTTTTTCTGATTCAGACTGATGGACAAGTGCCTAGTTTTTGGTAATATTATTTCCTTGGGGAAGACTTGCCTTACTCCCCAGACTGCTAAGACCCCTGTTATACTTTCTCCTGGCACATTGTACTTTTCCTCCATAGCACTTATCAACTATAACTGAGCCATTTTTCCTCCATGTGTTTAATAGACTACTTGTCAGTGCCATGGAACAGACCAGAGCATGGGTTCCGAAGTCAGACTGCAGAAACTCGGATCCTAGCTCGGCCATCCCAGTATTTTAGGTAAATCACATTACTCTTCTGTACTTGCATTTATTTCCACATCTGCCAAACGGGGTTAACAGTAGCATCTATTTCACAGGGTCACTTTGGGCCTTAGATTAGATAGCAAGTAGCCTGTGCCCGGCATATGGTAAGTACTCAATAAATATTAGGAAGGGAATCTTAGTAGGTACTAAGGACTTCTGTGCTGAAAGAAGGAATGTTTTTAATTAAATAAGACAACAGTATGTGCCCTGCCAACCTCCAAGATGGATTTAAGATAAAATCAGTTACTGAGTGTGAAAAGGATTTTTCACTTGTGTTAGCCTCTGCAAAGTGGGGTCCTGCCATTGCTGTTTGCATTGCCAGCCTTACTGCTTGCCTTGTTTGACCAAAAGTCTCAATTTTTTTATTAACAAGAGCAAAATGGAAGCAGAGCAGTATGTGCCATTGTCTTACATGTTTTACGATTTTAAAGCTTTAAAATTAAAGTTTTTCCGGACACCAAAGACAGCATCACCCCCATTCCCACCAAAGAGGGATGGTGCAGGGAGTACAAGACTCCCTCCCAAGACCACTCAGAGAAACCAGGGAAAGGGAACCTCCTGAGGCTTCTCTTTGAACTGTATAAGCACAGCCTCCCCGGCCCTAGGGCTGACAGTCTAGCACTCCAGTCTTAGTGAAAATTAGTAGCCTTTAGTAAATGAATGGACCTTGAATTTTTCCTTCAGGGGAAGAGGTTTCTACTTAAAACTCTGCAACAGCTGAATGCTAATGCATACCAATGCTTGATACAGCCCCTAATTAATCAACTACTCCCTGCCCTGTCCCCAGTCAACACATTTTCTCTAATTTAACTCATTGCCGCATAGAAGAGTATATTCCTGCTAGAGTTCTAGAGGTTTATGGATTCCAAGGACTGGAAGGTATCTGAGGACCATTGAACCCAAAAGCTGATTCCGTGCACATCGGTGATTCTATCTTTGATCCAGGCTGCAGACCCCAACCTTCCTGGAGGGGGTCCCTCAGCACAAAGGTGGGAAGATAGATCTTGGACCCACCTGGTGGGGCCCTGGCTCTAGGGAAGAGAGCCAAATGCAGCCAGAAAAACACAGCGGAGGCTTGCGGTGAGGACTGAGAAAGGATGCTTCGAGGCAGGAGAATTGGGCCAGGAGGAAACAGAGTTAAAGGAAGGCCCCAGAGATGAGGTGAAATGCCATAGAATGAAGTCCTCCCAGAACACTGGGGAAAACATTCCTCCTCTTAGATGCCCACAGACTTGAGAGATTCATGGTCAAAAATGAAGTCTTCAGGGGTCCAAATCATCCCACACAACGAGAACTTAATAAAAAAGTAAAATACCATCCAAAGCTCCTGAAAAAGTTAGGAGTCAGGAGCCCTGTGTTCCAGTTCTGACCCTACCACTTGAGCCATTTGGGTAAGTGACCTAATGAAAATAGAGTGGTTTCATGGTTGTCAGAGCACTCTCCAAACTACAGGCACCCAGAGGACCCAGCGCTGAGCAATTTCATGTCAAGTTTGACATAGTTAGAAATCCCATCTTGACCAAGAAAGTTAACACACAGTTGCCCCCAGAACCCAGGCATTTCGGAAGGTGGGGAGTTGTCCAGGCAGATGTGATAAGCAAAAGTGCGACAGTGTGACTATCCCAGAGGGCTGTCAAGAGAGAGGTTCCCCTGACAGGAAACGGCAAAAGATCCTCTCAGTAGCATTTCTTTCCCACAGATCTCCTGAGACTCATTCTAAATGTCACACCACACTCAAACCCACTGGATCATCTATCTCAGTGGAATCGTGCCTTTCCAAACTCGGACTGTGGCCCCAGCTGTTGCTCTGAAATCCACCCCCGAGTCTGCACTGAGGCCATTCCTCCCCAGGGCCACTTCTAGCCGCAGACCGAGCATGACAGGGATACTGAGGCAGGCCCGTTCCTGGGAGGCAGGGGTCCTCCGCTGGTGGCCAACTTTGACTTGAGGACCTCTTACACAGCATTGCCAGATGTCCTCAAATTGCCCAGCAGCCTTGGATGCTTCCTCCAACTTCCCTTCCCTCTGTCACTAGGGGTCAGACCTACATCTCAGACTGACAGCTCTGTCCTTCACAGGCAGTTCCAAATAGATTTCTTACACATCTCATCCTGTCTGGGAGCCTGCTTCTTGTAGGGCCTGGACTCACACAGCGTATTAACCAACTGATAACTCATTGAATGAATGACTAACTTCTCACTGCATTGTTCAGCCTCTTCAGACAGAGCCATCAGGCCAGACTCTGTGTGATAAGGGTATTAAAATTTCGCCCAACTGAACCCAAGTAGAGATCTGCGTGTGGCGCTAGCAGCGGGTCTCCTTTCTGGTATCTGTGTCTGTTGACTCATTTGCATTAAGGCTTCAGAGGTTTCAGGGACTGGAACTCAAACAGTATCCATTACTGGGAGCCAGGCACAGACAGGCATGACCAGAAGACTGGACTGGAGGAACAAACAGAATCCAGATTAGGATGGGGCACTGGGAGCCTCTGAACATGCACCTGTGAGCCAAACACTATGGACTAGTGGTTGTCATTTGAAACTGCCCCTTCCAAGCAGCCCTGTCAGTGTTTGCCTGCCTCAGGGGGGAAAGGTGGTGTTTGTGTAAAACACTGACCGTCATGCATAGCTGCTGGGAATACACAACGGTTCGCCTGCGGTGGCAAACAGTTTGAAGGTTCCTCGAAAAGCTAAACAGAATTTCCATATGACCCAGCAATTCCTCTCCTAGCTGTACACTGAAGGAATTGAAAACAGACTCAAGCCAATATTTGCACGTCAATGTTCGTAGCAGCATTATTCACAATAGCCAAAAGATGGAAACAACCCAAGTGTCACATCCATCAAGAGATGAATGAATAAACAAATTGATATATTCATACAACAAAATAGTATTCAGCCATGGAAAGCAATGAAGTTCTGACACTTGCTACAACGTGAACGAAACTGGAAGACATTATACTAAATGAAAGAAGCCAGAAACAAAAGGACAACTATCGTATGATTCTACTTACATGAGGTACCTAGAATATGCAAATGCATAGACAGAAAATAGATTAGAGGTTACCAGGGGTTTTGGAGGAAAAAATAGGGAGTTATAATTTAATGGTTAAGAGTTTCTGTTTAGGGTGATGAAAAAGCTTTGGAAATAGTGATGATGTTTGTACAACATTATGAATGTAATTAATGCCGCTGTATTGTACACTTAAAAATGGTTGAAATAGCAAATGTTCTGTTATGTATATTTTATAATTTTAAAAAATTAATAATATAATATTTATAATATTACAATTATATTATGTATTGTTATAATTATATATTTAATATATAATTATATTAATGTAATATTAATATTAATATACCCCCAAAACATTCATCTGTACACTTTAAATGGGAAAATTATAATAGTATGTGTGTTATATCTCAGTAAAGCTGTTTTTAAAAAAGTAAAAGCACCGTAGAAGCTCTGAACCCATGAAACCTTGCTGTGGGATCCTGGTAAAAGGTTCAAACCCAAAGAAGAGGGTGGCTATTTCCCTCTCCATTGGCAAGGTGATGGCAGCAGCAAGGGCCCAAGCACAGAACAGGTGGCATTTCCTGAGCCCAGTGGGCAGTTCCAGTGGTGTCCTGTGTTTATGTGACAGGGGGAAGGACCTGGAATGAGGTTTGGAGATGAATGACAGCAAAGCACAGACACTGCCCAGGCGAGTAAGAAGCAGTACAGATGTTTTCTGGATTGGTCCTTAAGTGACAAGTGACTCCGAGGGCTCCTTAAGAGAGTAGATGCATGTGGCAACTTGAAAGGGGCCAGAGGGACAGATGTTTCAGATTTCCACTGGTGAGGGCTAAACCTAAACCAGATAAACCTAAATATGCCTGTCAACGTGACCACAGTGACTTCCTGCATCATCTGCACCCCCATGCCATCAGCCCAGGGATACATGGTATTTAAGCGAAGTGAAGCATTGATACAATTATATAACTTAAAAAATAAGAAAGACAATTTTTGCATTATTATCTGAGTTTCCTAGTTTTGTGTGTGTGGTATTTGGGCTCTTGATCATATGTTTCATTCTCTGAATTGTCTATTTCTAGTGTAACTGAGTATACCTAAGGAGTGCAAGGAAATGTGAAAAATATGCTGCTTTTTATCAATGTGGAAAGATTAGCAGGACTCCCTAAAAGAGACTCT